GCGCAGTTCGGAAGATAAAGCCTAGGCCTAGAGATGTGTTTGGTTTGATTGGCTGTTCTTCACCGATGTCAGATGCTCCTAAGGTGTGGAGCTTAAGATGTTCCACAAAGTTGGGCCCACAGCGCATTCGGGACCCCTTGTGGTGCATGTTCCTGCGACGAAGCTTGCAATCTCTTTCGTGCCACGGCTCGCAACTTAAAATCTTGCCTGCCCAGGTTCTGAGATTTGGCCACGAAGTGGCGTTGCTTGCAGTGGTGATGATCAGCCTTCGGCCCCAGATGTTGCGCAGATGCGCGATGTGTCCGTGAGACAGGTTTCCCGACGTAAGGAAGCAGCTTCTGACCTCTGAGGTCACAGTTTCTCCGTCCTTGGATTGTGGCCAGACTCCTGGTCATATTGTGCCGCATGCATTCTGCCCGCTGGATCGAGCAGAGGTCGTTTCCATCGGATCTGGCGTCCCAAGTCTTCATGGGTGCAGATCTCAATGATGGATGACTACTTTTCTGATGTCAAGGCATGTAACTTGGCAGAGGCTTTCAGGTCACGGCTGCTGGGGTGGTTGCCACGCGCCTTTTGGCCAAGAGGGGCAGGTGCGGTCACAGATCGCGAAACTCAGTAGCCAAGGGCTAGACCGGTTCGGTTTGCGAAGGCGAGCAAGAGAGCTGATACGTGTTGAGACGTGCACTTGAGAGGCACCTGCCACAGCAGAAGGCCTACTCCAAGTACTTGATGCATCTTCTTCTGGTGGTCGGACTCCCAACATTCCCAACTGACTCCTCAAACTCCTCAAGTTCAAGCCGGCGGGCTCAAGACGCTGCAAAGAGTGGGCCCTTGAGGTGCTCGGTTTTCTCTTCTACTGCCTGGTGAGCTTGGCTGGGGACTGACGCATTATGACGCATTGGAGATGCCAAGAACCTCTCTGCATCTCTCACAGCTAGCCGTCCCTCCAGATGCCCAGGCTCCTGGGCTTCACGGGCTCTGGCAGCTAATCCGCAAGCAGTGTATCGGCAGTCCCTGACAAGCTTTTGGATTTTGGGCCGGGGTTTCCGTGTCGTGGTTGAGGACGGGGGTTTGCAGGTAAAGGTTTGGGGACTGAGGGTCCAGGGTTGATTTCAGCGTTGCACAATTTGGCAGGTATGCAGCTTTTCTTGCCGGTCTACTAGCTTCTTGGTCTGCCGCGGTACTGGTCGTTGCAGTCTGGGCCTCTGATTGGCGCTTGATCAAGCACTGGCTGTCAAGCTGACACCGAAGGAATGGAACCGTGTCATCAAGTGCTGCCTGCTTTTTGCTCGGTACTTAGTGTGTTGCGAGGGCTGATGATGCTGCCCTGCTAAGAAACATGTCGATGTTGTTGCCAAGCGATGGCCCAGGTCATGTGGATGCTGGCCGTGGCAGCTCCAACATTGCTCTCCCTTCTTGTAGGTATGCTGGGAACCTTTGGCCGCAATCTTGGTTTTTGTGGAAGATTGGCTCATCAGTGCCACGTTCCTTAGCCTCTCAATTCCGCGGCTTCGGACACAAGAGGTTTTTGGCTCTCAGTGTTCACGCCGACGCTTTTGCTGCTCCTGCCTCTTGACTAAAGATGTGCAGTGACGGCTTTCCTGTACAACTGTGAATGGGTGTTCCTTTCCAGAAGGAGTTTGGTTGTCTGACACCTTGCTTGCCAAAAACAAGCTGATGCATCTAAGGTCTTTGGTGGCTGAGCGGCTTATAGGCGCGGCAGTGATTGCCCGATTCATGCTTTAGCCGCCTTAGCCAGTGTGACAGACCGTCTGTCGGAGAGAAGGATAGGTGTGATAGACAGTGATTTGCGTTCAGGGCGGTATCTTTTCAAGGACAATCTGCTCTTCCATTCTCTCAATGTGCAGGTCCCCTGATAGAAGCAAAGTGCCAAGCCCTCAGCTAATGGATGTGGCAGTCGTGGCTTGTACGATTCTACCAGCACCTCGTGTGACTTTCAGGCGAATATACGGCAGAAACGAACTGGTTGCTTGCGCTTATGTAGGGAACCAAGCTTCTCTCCAGTCCAATGCCTTCACTAAGCGAACTGGATGTCAGGTTCAGGATGTGTGTCGAGCAAGTTCGCTTCAACACAGCCCTCGCGGCTGGTGCCCCAGCACATCCGCTGTGTCTAGAGCCTGCATTTGCAAATCCCAACCATGGACAGACGCACGTTCCCGGAGGTCTTGCTGCTTGCGCTTCTCTCTGGGAAAGGGTTCAGCCCCTTCATTCTGCACCTAGCCGCATGCTGAGTGCACGTCTGATGCCACGGGCACCCTAAAAGGCACATCTCAACTTCCTCGGTTTCGTGCAGGCGCAGAGCCTCCTGTTCGCCGTGATCCTTCGACGGCCAACATGTTGTACTGAAAATGTCGTCTCGGCCTCAGTGCCAGGAGCAGTTCTCAGTCCATTTTCACGCTGATGGGCTTGTGGAGATTCTGTGTGGCATCCCAGGTTTCGACTCCGTCTGCATTCCGCCTATACCTCTTCCATGCATCGCAGATTGTGTCGCACACAGGCTCGCGGAGAGATCTGTTAGGTGTGTGCTTGGAGCAAGCCGATCTGTAGTTCGTGGGTGTTAGGCCCTTAGCCTGTGATTACCTTTGTTCTCATCCTGCTACATCGGGGCGTCGCAATGTCACTTGTCACTCGCCGCGACGCGCTCCTACACACTAAAAACCCTACACTTGTAAACTGCACTGCATCAGTGCAGCGGAATCGCGTGTCTGCTTCAGTAGGCTCCGGTGCCATCTGGCATTACCGGCCTGCCCCCGAGTAATGGAGTTGCTGGAGTCTGCTGGAGGGTGTGTTCCGAGATGTGACTGCATGAAATCCAAGACCCCGGCTCGCACATCCTGCTCTCCTGCTCGGGATGAGGTCGGAAGCTGCGGTGCTGCCTCTGGAAATTGCCGGGGCCCCCAGACAATGAGTGCGGAACTGAAGTATTGTCAATGCTGGAGTTTCCTGCGCAGGTGCTCTTCTTCACTCACTTGTTCCAGCTACTCCTTCTCGGGGTCCCGGTCGGCGTGTCGGTTTGAACCTCATGGGGCTGCGGCTATGGAGGGGAACTGCAATAAAACTCTTATGAACTCTGCATGAACCATTGTGAACCTCTCCCGTCCCGGATCGCGAGGCGTCATCTTGGTGCCTTGGGCTTGCCTTGCTGGTTCTCTTCTCGATGGGCAGAGAGATCACATCGTGGAGCTGACGTGTTTGTGCAGCAAGTGGGTTACTTCTGCGAAGAAGGAACTTCTTGTGGCCACACTTGAGGTCGTTTCCGTAGACTCAGAAGCCAGATGAACTCAAGGCTTCAGAGCCAGCTGCAAGTTTTCTCACGCTGCAGGGGCGTGCTTTCCATCTGGCATCGGATGCTTTTCCCTCACATCCCCTGGTCGGCTTCTTAAGGACCTGTTTGCAACACTGATGACTGGGTCTGAGGGAAGGTCCGAGGTGGTTTCCCTGTGTCTGGAGCGTCGAGGTCGGCTCTTCCGGGCCACCTGGTTGCCATCGTCGTTGGGGTAGCAATGGCAACATCTACCTTCGCGCAAGTCCAGCACTTGGCATGCTTCAAGTGCAAGATGATTGGTTGTTGCAAGTTCTTGCAGGCTTCTGCACCCAGCATAGTCCTTCAGAAGAAGCTGAGGTGCACTTTTTCTGGCTATTTTATGCGCATCACTGGGCAGTGTGCTACATTGGCCAAGGGCTCAGCGTTCAGATTCAAAGACAGGGGTGGGGGCACATCCCATTCTTTTTTGTCGGGAGAGGTGGCTCTTCGAGCACGGGCATGGAGGTGCTGAAGCAGTTTGTGCTCTCATGGAGTTGCTGGAGCTAACAAATTTGCTTGGCTCGCGAGCGACCTTGCTGGAACTTTGTGCCAGATGGCGGCAGACAATGATGTCATGGGAAGCATCGTGATGGCTTTCATGGGCATTGCGCTCTTGATGGCTCATGCGCCATGGCAGAAGCAGAACACAGCAGGATGGGTAATGCCATGCCATACATCAAAGATTGTAAGATTGCTGCGAGTGGCTGTGAGTTGCTGTGAGTTGTGTGCGAGTTCGCTCGATTGAGGTCTACTTGTTTTGCCTGTGGTCGCTGTGGCTTGGGTCCTTCGACTTACCTTCGGCTCAGATGCGAGAGCTGTGGAGAACGTCTTCGAAGGTCTGAGAGAAGGTCTCCTGCAAAGCTGAGGCGATTGGAGTCGTCCCGCCGGCCGTCGAAGGCTTGGGATGCAGAGTTGCTCTTTGTGGAAAATGAGGGGGGGGGGGTGTCCGCTGCTACCAGCGGGGGGGTTAGGCATGTTAGGGCCTTGAGTCTACTTGTGCTTCGGGTGCGTAGGGATACTTGCACGCTTTCATGCCTCCGCTCGAAGCCTACGTCGGTTCGCTGAAGTTGATAGACGCTGAAGGAAGTTGAAAGCAACTTCGCGTCGATTTTGCTTTCAGAGGCCCGCGTGAGCGCCCTCAGCGACCGCGGGAGGAGCAAGGAGGAGCTCGCATGGTCACCCAGTGGGAGAATTGAGAAGAAAGCGAGAGGGTGCAGTGGGGCTGAGGATTGCGGCTGTTTTTCATGGATTGCATCAAGAGTCGAGGGGTTATTGCAGGTTTGCCTGAAATCTACCAAGCTTTGAATGGTTTTTGTGCTTACGGAGCGGCCTCGAAGTTCAACATGTGTCAAAAGGTGAATGCCTTCAGACGGTCTGCGAGCCTTACCCTGGACGACCGGCAGCAGAAGAAGGCTATGCTGGTGCGATGCCCAGGGTAAGGGCCCAGTTGCTCGTGTGTCATATGCGTGTTTTTCGCCTCATGCACATTGCATGGAAAGCATCCGGAACGACATGCTTTTTTTGCAATGTGTGTTGCTGTGGGGCTCGACAATTGCTCCGGATACAGAGCTCGCTCGATGGGGTTCTTGACTGGCTGACTACATATTCACCGACCTCCTGTATCCTCTTGCTGTAAATCAGACGTTTCGTGAGGGAGTCCTTGCCATCCCTTGCCATGGCGTTGCCCCTCACCCTTCCGGGGTTTACGGATCCAGCTGCGGGCGCCCGCCGGATGTTGGCAGCGCAGGTGGGACGCTTGTTCCTCCGAGATCCTCTTTCTGATTGACCTGACAGGTCTTGAACCGGTGAACTCTGCTTTCAAGTTTTGTTTGGTGAGGTGGAGCAGCTGAACCAGTGGCAGTGGGATGGCTGCAACAGCTGGAGCGGGGCTGGAGGCGCATGTGGTACACATCTTTTTCTTTTCTAGGTTCCCCCCTCAGGCAAGCTCGGAGTCTGTTGCTTCGTCAGCTCGCCGACGATCCTCGATTAGTGCTTCAAGATGTTCCCTCCCCCCCCCCTGCAGGTCGGCACGAAGACCGGAACGGAGAAGCTGGAACAATGGCGGAGACAGTCCATTCCGTCCTCGACTGGGCTTTCAGCATCGAGGGCTCCGACTTGGCTTCAGCTTGCCGCGCTGTGAGAGACAAGTTGCACATCCTGGATGTGGTGCAGGTCGTCCAGGACTTCATAGCTAGCCTGCTGTACGTGACAGTGGCTGCGGAGCCCCAGCCCACGCCACAGGGCCAGCATGCAAGCACCAAGCATCAGCTTGCCGAGTTTCTGTATCAGCTGTGTGGGCTGAGCGAGCCATCTGAGCAATCCAGTAGCAGCGCGAATGTCCGGGCAGCATTGGTAGAGCCGTGCAAATCTTGTGTCTGTTGCCACATCGCGATTCAAGAAACTATGGGCTTCCTGTGCTTCGTTCACCACTTCGTGACGACGTCCAGCACAGCCTCGATGGGCCCAGAGCACCTTCCAAGGCATCGAGTGACCAGGGCAAGTTTTGCAAGTACTAGCAAACGTTGCGACTAGGCTCCAGCCCGTGGCGGAAGTAGCTTCCCAGATCTGTCTCGTGTGGTGGTAGCTTCCCAGATCTGTCCCTGTATAGGCATATTGAAGAGGGTGTTCTCCTGATGCTTCACATCGTGGTCAAGCTGTGCTCCAGTGTCCATGACGACTGCTTCCTTGTAGCCCAACGCTTTGATCATCTACAATGGTGGCCACGGTACGAACGGATCCTTGTTTGAACGTTTCAGTTTTTTCGGAGTGGTACTGTACTACATTTGGTTCTGCGAGGCAGGCGCTAGCTAGGCTTGGTGATCGTGACTTGACGAGGCTGAGACGGGACTGTCCCGTGACATCATGGCCGCTGACCACATGGGCATCCTTCCAGCAGGCCTGGCTGGACATGGAACAAGCCGTCTTCAAGCTGCAGAAGAGGGTTGCCCTCTTCCAAATGCAGACAGGGCAGCGGTCGGGGCGGCGGGGACCAAGACATGCTCGGCCGTCTGCTGGCTTCGTCAGCTTTCCTCCGCCGCTTCCGAAGGTGGAACTGGCTGGCAGCTAGCGCGGGGGGTGCGCCATCCCAGCTTTGTGCATGCAGATCGCAGGGTCTCTTTGAGTTTGTCTCGGCGGCCCTATGGAATCAGCACTGACATGAGCTTGTATGATGAATTCGTTGTGTGTGACAGGGTGCCCGGGCTCACTATGATTAGTCAGCGGCCAGCTGCGTCTTTGTCCTTTATGATCCTTGTCCTCCAGTCGGTTACAGTAGAATGGACCTGGGACACTTAGTCACAGCGACATGCGCTTTAGTGGCTGGCTCCGCAGCGTGCTGTATGAGTCATACTGAACTTATTTTAAGGGGCTGCGCCCATGGGCGGGCAGCGCACGCAGAAGCCCGGGGCGAGCAGTTTCTAAGCATGTTGAGGCCCCTAAACTCCCTTAAAATCTCTAAGCGTTAAGTTTCTAAGCATTTTCAGGCCCCTAAACTCCCTTCAAATCTCTAAGCGTTTGAGGCTCCGAGACTCCCTTAACGTTTCTAAGCACTTTATAAGGCCCCTAAACTCCCTTTTTCCTAGCCCCGGGCTTAGACACGTCGCTTATGCCCGCCCTTTGGGGGGGCATCATGCTCCTGATGCTTTTTCGCGGTCCCGCCCCGGGAGCCGCTGATGCTCCTGATGCGCGCCTGGGGGTCCCGGGCTGGACCCGCTGATGCTCATGATGCGCGCCCTCTGGGGGCCTCCGTGGCGACGCAAAAAACCACGAAAAAAAAACCGTTCACCGGCGGCACGCGGGGGTCGGCGGCACTGGCGTCCGGCCTAATTCTGCTTCGCAGAAGGCCAGAGGCCAGCAAGGCTATTCCCGGGACGACCCGGGCTAAAAGGTCCGCATTTGCTCGGTCCTTTGGGGACCTCGCGCTGCCCGATTTAATGGCTACCGCCAGTGCCGCCGACCCCTCAACCTGATGCTCCGCGCAAACCGGACAAGAACAAGGATGGCAGGGGGTGGGGTGGGGGGTGGGGGGGGGGGGGGGGGGGGGGGGGGGGGGGGGGGGGGGGGGGGGGTGGGGGGGGTGGGAGGGAAGGGGGGTGGGGGAGGGGAGGGGGCGGAGGGGGCGGGCATGCACTGGAGCCCTTTAGAGTCTTTAAAGTCTCAGTCATCTGATCGAGTGGGGAAGGGGTAGGGGAGGAGGATGGAGTGGAATGGTTGGGAAGGGGAAGGGTGGGGTTGGTGGTGGGAGGGTTAGGGGCGGGGTGGATTGGGGGTACGGTGAGAGGGGGGGCCGGGTGGGAAGGCCGGGCGTGGATTGGCCCTGAAACAGTGGAATGGTTGGGAAGGGGAAGGGTAGTGGGAGAGGCAGGGGAAGCATGGCGGGCGGAGCGGGCGAAAAGGGGGGAAGGGCGGGAAGGGCGGGAAGGGCGGGAAGGGTGCGTACGGTATGGGGGTGGAGGTTGGGGGTTGGGGTGGAGCAGGGGCCATATATAGGAGCTGGAAGGGCGGAGGGCGGAGCGGGCGGAGCGGGCGGAGGGCCCGGGCATGCACTGGGGCCCTTTAAAGTCAGCTGAGAAGCCACATCCATGGGCCGTTAACCATGAGCCAATGGGGCCAGGAGCCATGGGTTCAGTGGGGGGCGGGGTGCGTGGGGGGTGGGGGTAGGGGTTGGAAGTGTGGGTGGGTGGGGGTGGGGGTTGGGGGTTGGGGGTGGCAGGATGCGTACGGTATGGGGGTGGGGGTTGGGGGTTGGGGTGGAGCAGGGGCCATAATAGGACCAGCGTTGGCAGCCATGCAGGTCGAGGGATGAAGAATGTGACCAACACCAATGGGGCCAGGAGCCATGGGTCCAGTGGGGGGGCGGGGTGCGTGGGGGGTGGGGGTGGGGGTTGGAAGTGTGGAAAGGGTGGGGTGTGTGGGGGTGGGGGTTGGGGGTGGGGGTGGAGCCATGACGCCAGGAGCAAGGGGCCCATGACAAGCACGGGCGGCGGGGCAGGGTGCGTGCGGGGTGGGTGGGGGTTGCGGGTGGGGGTGGAGCAGCTCAAGGGACGAAGAATGGGACCAGGAGCCATGGGTCCATGAAAAGCATGGGCTGGTCGAGCTTTGGATGGGGTGGAGTAGGTGGTAGGGACAATGGGTCTTCACTGACGCCGAGCTTGGGATGAAGAATGGGACCAGGAGCCATGGGTCCATGAGAAGCATGGCGGGGTGCGTGGGGGGCTTGGGCAAGGGAAGGAGTATGCGGGTGGTGGGGGTAGGGCAAGCGGGGGCATGCACTGGGAGGAGCCATGGGTCCATGAGAAGCATGGCGGGGTGCGTGGGGCGCTTGGGCAAGGGAAGGAGCGGGGGGCGGGGTGCGTGGGTGGTAAGGGTAGGGCAGCAAGGCACTGCACAACGAAGCAGACAGCAAGGGCAGCGAGGCACTGCACAACGAAGCAGACAGCAAGGGCAGCGAGGCACGGGGTGCGTGGGGGGCTTGGGCAAGGGAAGGAGTATGCGGAGCGGGAAGGGCGGATGGGCGGGGGGCGGGGTGCGTGGGTGGTGGGGGTAGGGCAAGCGGGCGGGCATGCACTGGGAGGAGCGGCGGGGTGCGTGGTTGGGGGGGAGGGCAAGCGTAGGGCAAGCGGGCGGGCATGCACTGGGGGCCGGTCGAGCTTTGGATGGGGTGGAGGGTGGTGGCGTGGGTGGTAAGGGCAGGGCAAGCGTTTTTAGGGCAAGCGGTGCGGGCATTGCACTGGGGGCCGGTCGAGCTTTGGATGGAGTAGGGGGTAGGGGCAGGGCTGGCGAAGGGCAGCAAGGGCAGCAAGGCATCTGCGCAAACGAAGCAGGACAGCAAGGGCAGGTAGGCGGAGCTGGAAAGGGCGGAGGGCGGAGGGGCAGCGGCGGAAGGGGGCGGGAATTGCACTGGGACCATTTAAAGCAGCTGAGAAAGCGACATCCTGGGGCCGTGGGACCATGAGCCAAGGGGGCCAGGAGCCATGGGTCCAGTGGGGGGCGGGTGCGTGGGGGGTGGGGGTGGGGGCAGTGGGGGTGGGGTGGGGGTTGGGGGTGGGGTGGAGCCATGGGGCCAGGAGCCATGGGTCCATGACAAGCGTGGGCGGCGGGGCAGGGTGTGTGCGGGGTGGGGGGGGTTGGGGGTGAGGGGGCAAGGGAGGGAGTCTGCGGAGCGGGAAGGGTAGAGGTGGTGGGGGCAGGGGCGGAGAAGCCACCTGTTTGGGCCATGGACCATAATGAATGGGGAGCCATGGGGCCAGGAGCCATGGGTCATGAGGGGCATGGGTGCGTGAGGGGTAAGGGGTAGGGAGCTGGGTCCATGAGGGGTAGGTCAAGAAAAAGTAGGCGGAGCTAGAAGGGCGGAGGGCGGAGGGGGCGGAGCGGGCGGAGCGGGCGGAGGGCCCGGGCAGAGCATTGGCAGCCATGCAGGTCGAGGGATGAAGACTGGGGCCAGGAGCCAATGGGGCCAGGAGCCATGGCTCCAGTGAGGGGGCGGGGTGTGGGGGGTGGGGGTGGGGGTTGGAAGTGTGGAGCCATGGGGCCAGGACCACATGACAAGCATGGGCGGTGGGGCAGGGTGCGTGCGGGGTGGGGGTGGGTGGGGGTTGGGGGTGGGAGGGCAAGCGGGCGGAATATGCACTGGGGGCCGGTCGGATCTTGGATGTTGCATGGGACCAGGAGGCCATGCCGGGGTGCGTGGGGGGCTTGGGCAAGGATAAGGGGGGGGTGGGGGGGGGGTGGATCCATGGGCCAGGGCCATGGGGTTCATGACAAGCATGGGCGGCGGGGCAGGGTGCGTGCGGGGTGGGGGTGGGGGTTGGGGGTGGGGGTGGAGCAGGGGCCATAAAAAGGAGGGATGAAGAATGGGACCAGGAGCCATGGGTCCATGAGAAGCATGGCGGGGTGCGTGGGGGGCGAAGGGCGGATGGACGGGGGGCGGGGTGCGTGGGTGGTGGGGGTAGGGCAAGCGGGCGCCATGCACTGGGGGCCAGTCTACCTTGGGATGAAGAATGGGACCAGGAGCCATGGGTCCATGAGAAGCATGGCGGGGTGCGTGGGGGGCTTGGGCTCGGGAAGGAGTATGCGCAGCGGGAAGGGCGGATGGGCGGGGGGCGGGGTGCGTGGGTGGGGTAGGGCAAGCGGGCGGGCATGCACTGGGAGGAGCCATGGGTCCATGAGAAGCATGGCGGGGTGCGTGGGGGGCTTGGGCAAGGGAAGGAGCGGGGGGCGGGGTGCGTGGAAGCGCGGGCATGCACTGGGGGCCGGTCGAGCTTTGGATGGGGTGGAGTAGGTGGTAGGGGCAATGGGTCTGGCGAAGGCAGCAAGGGCAGCAAGGCACTGCACAACGAAGCAGACAGCAAGGGCAGCGAGGCACTGCGCAACGAAGCGTGGGGGGCTTGGGCAAGGGGGGAAGTATGCGGAGCGGGAAGGGCGGATGGACGGGGGGCGGGGTGCGTGGGTGGTGGGGGTAGGGCAAGCGGGCGGCCATGCACTGGGGGCCGGTCGAGCTTGGGATGAACTCCTGGTCCATGAGAAGCATGGCGGGGTGCGTGGGGGGCTTGGGCAAGGGAAGGAGTATGCGGAGCGGGAAGGGCGGATGGGCGGGGGGCGGGGTGCGTGGGTGGTGGGGGTAGGGCAAGCGGATGGGTCCATAAGAAGCATGGCGGGGTGCGTGGGGGGCTTGGGCAAGGGAAGGAGCGGGGGGCGGGGTGTGTGGGTGGTAAGGGGGGAGCGTAGGGCAAGCGGGCGGGGCCGGTCGAGCGGGAAGGGTAGAGGTGGTGGGGGTGGGGGCGGAGAAGCCACCTGCTTGGGCCGTGGACCATAATGAATGGGGAGCCATGGGGCGAGGAGTCATGTGGGTGCGTGGGGGTAGGGGTAGGGAGCTGGGTCCATGAGGGTAGGTCAAGGGGATGGAGAGTGGGAGCATGGGTTAGAGGGGAGTAGGCGGAGCTAGAAGGGCGGAGGGCGGAGGGGGCGGAGCGGGCGGAGCGGGCGGAGGGCCCGGGCATGCACTGGGGCCCTTTAAAGTCAGCTGAGAAGCCACCTCCGTGGACCATGAGCCAATGGGGCCAGGAGCCG